AACTGAAATCGTCACACACTCACCAATCCCAACAAAAGGTGGCGGGGTACACGCAAGAGGCGGGGTACACGTTGGACTAGTACCTGCCAGTGAAATAATTGATACCGGGCCATACAGAGAGAGAGACTGAACAAAAATGATTTCAGCGATCACCGTCATGCGTCTGAAAGAAGTTTTATTTTGAAAATCAGGTGCATCCAACTGTCCCTTAGTAAACATGTCAAACCGAAATCCCAAAGCAAAGCCACAAGCTAGCAAAATTGAGTTAAAAAACGTCATTTGGAGAGCTTCTGAAAGGGAAACATTGAAAAAAAAAAACAATTGCAGAAGGGCTCCCACGAATCCGAATCAAACAACATGCATGTTTTTGGAATGTGGGTGGAAATACAGAGAGCAAAATGAATGAATGAATGAATGAATGAAAAACGCGGCGGTTGGTGATGGAGGTGCGCTGGGGGATGAAGATTTGGTGCTACACGGTGCAGGCTGACAGGAAGGAAATGGTTTCTGTGAACTATTTATTGCGGTGGTATTTCTCAGCGGTACCAGAGAAGGTTTGGTGCTTGTGTGTAATTGTGTTACAACCCTCCCACATGCTGTCCCCAGCGCGTCTTCTGTCTCCTCTCCCAATCTGGGCTGTTTGTCTCCAGATAAGCGATATCCTCCTCAGATTACCATCGTGCATCCGTGCCCCGGCCACCCAGAGGGGAAAGGGAGCCCGAGTGTGTCCCCTTGAGGAGCGAGCTGTATTTTTAGCTGTCTAATCCTTTTATAGCTGGAGCGGAAGCCACTGCTGCTGCCTGCCGATGGTCCCTTGCAATTATCATGTGTCAGAGAACAGCTTTGATGGAGCTTAACATTGGGAAATGGTGGTAAAGTAATATTTCTTCAAAAAGATCACCAAACTGCTAAGTTCCACTTACAGTCGAGGACAGGGGCAAAAAAACCCCCAAAAGGTCAAATTAGTATCACCCATATGTCTTCAACAATGCAACTCAAAATTCCACCATCATGACCGACATTCCACTACAGCGGTGTTTTAGGCCTGAGTGATGATCATAAAAGAGATTGAATATTGCTGTAAGCTACAGTAACATTATGCACAGTTTGAACATAAAGACTGTGCTTAACTAAAGGAGAGAAAAATGTAGGTCTTCATAAAAAATAGTTTGTTTAACATGCATACACATCAAGGTTTCATAAAAATTGTTCCTTAAGAAATTATTTAAAAAAAAAACAGCAGTCTAAGATTGAATGCAAATGTATTGAAATTAAAAGTTAAATACAACAGAACTGTAGTTAGCCTGTGATTCTTTCAGATACCACTAGACGGAGTCCAAATATGATTTTGAGAATCACTGGCCTACGAGATCTGCTTGTAATTGGGGCTCATTTTGGCTGGATTCTCAAATCTGAGTATGAGCCCAGGAGTTTGCCCAAAATGGCTGACTTCCTCTTCCATTTATCGCATGAAACGTTTTTATGCATGTCCTATTGTGATAAGCGCAACAAATTTTGTTGGTAAAACCGATGTCGGGGCCTCATCACTTTCCATAGGGTGCTACTAAGTCAGTGGTTGTGGCAACCCCTAAAATATAGTCAACACAGTCCCCCTTTAATGCGACTTCCTGGCAATAAATGGCAGCATGGTGGATTGGTGATGAGCATGTTTGCCTCGTTCTGAGGTTCTGGGTTAAAATCTTGGCTCTGTTCTTCCTCTGTACATTTTGCATTTTCTCCCCATTGCTTGCCCAAAGTCAGTTCTGATAGGCTCACCCGTCACCCTACGAGGACAGGGCACTATATAGAAATGTCTACATTATCAATAAATCGTCCCTGCAAAGACCATCAAGACACACCGACGTGAGAACTGAGCCGTGTAATCTTTGGCTGAGCCTGCGTTTTCAACTTTTCTGTCAGTTTTCTAATGTTTGTCTCGAAAACATTTTTCACCCCCTCACCTCACCCTACAAAAACAGCAGATAGCCACTGTAACTGTTCCCAAGGCGCGGATCTTAGCACAAGACAGATGGGCGGGATTACGAAGAACAGCAGAACATGTTTTCTTTGTTAATGTCAACTTTTTTTAACACTGAGATACTGTGTGGCCGTCATCTAAACTCGGCCTTTCTACCGTTTGGATTGTACATGCAGTCTGGTCAAATGTTGGGAAGCTTTGAAGGCAGAAATGCAGGATTTTTGATGAGTGAAAACAAGTACTTTTTACACTTGGCCCAAATTTGATAGATTCACTTCCAGATTTCTGTAGGCACGCATTGAAAGATGTGTAATGCGAGACAAGGGCCAATAATTGCAAGGATTCAGATGAGTGAGAATAAAAATGTTCAACCTTTTCATCATCATGGAGTGGAATATCTGGAGGACATACACTAAACAGACCACAGTAGTGTTAGAATCAAACACAATGCTTCAGGACGCTGGTTCGCCTCGGTTTGTTGTTTCAAAATATTTTACCTGGTAGGAAATAAGTAAACTGAATCAAACTATCTTAAAACCTTCATGTGTTGCACAAGCGATGTGTTAAGTAACATTCTTAACTGTCATACAACAGTAAAAACAAGAATGCTTCAGTGCACCAGTGGAAGAAAACAACAAAATGCTCACCATTTGTTTGTACTTAGAATTAACCTTGATTTACAAACGACAGACCCAAAGAGTAAAGGTGATTATTGTGTGTATCTGATAAGCGGGTCTCTTCCCATAAAGCTGCTGACTTTATTTTTTGTTTAAACTGGCTTTTTCTTTTTTTTTAAATCACAGACATTGACCTATTGTCACTTTAGCCATATTGGACCCAGCAGCCAGGACAGACATCGCTTGCCTCTGTCACAAAATAAATTATATTTTCTGTTCTATGGTTATCATCATACTTTTTTCAAATAGCCTGCTGGAGTGGCAACACAAAATAGCCAAAGATAAAAGGTGGGCAAAGCCCTCCCTGACAAACACCTAAAATTAGGGAATTTAAATGTATGTTTTTTTTTTCCATTAGGGTACATTTATTTTCAATAAATAAAATGTGAATAAACTCAACAATTTTTCATACAAACTTTTAGAAATTAAAGCTGGAGTATGCAGTCTTGAAGCTGCAAGCAAAACTTGAATGTAGCCTCACTTCATTCTTACCGCCTCGTTTCACTGCACAAAGGACCCCCCCCCCCACCCCACCCACCCACATCCCAAGACTGTACAATCATTTAAGAAAGTCACTCAATTTACATGAAAGGTCACACAAAGGTCAAAGGTCCCTATTTATAATTTTTATTGTAAACTGGAATTAAATAACCAGCCAAGAAACTATACTGTTTTCCTTTACGAGAGCCTCTCTGTCTCCATGAGCCTCTGATAGCGGCACTGGGCCTGAGCAAATGATTGATGCATCCCTCTGTCAAGCTTTCTGTCTCTATTTTTCTGATTGGTTCGTCTTATTCACGCCGTGATAAGTTAAGAAATAATCATGATAAAATACATTTCAGGCATAAGATTGGGCCAGGGATGATACCCCCCCCCCCACTATGCTTTAATAATATTTTTCTGTTAGGCATACAGACAGTGTTAACATATCTGACAAAGTTTTTTGTTTTTTTTAATCACTCCAAACTCCTCTTCTGATTAATTAATTAGTTAAGAAGCACTTGAAATGGTTGTATGGTTGTGATTGGTTGACTCAGAGCCAGCCACAAACGCCGCACATACTTGCGCAACCACAATTTCTGTTGTTTGCATTCACTCCAAAAAAAAAATTCAATTGGGTTGTTCATACTATGATTACATTAATTTTGGAAAGAGATGATTTTTCTTGGTATATTTTTAGTTAAAAAAAAAAACAGGCATTTGAACATGGGTGTGTCGTAGACTTTATATCTAATGTTTATCTTGGTGGTCAAGTCAGGGAAAAGGTATCCAGCCAAGCCGTTGATTTATTGATAAAGATGTGTGTCCTAATACTTTAGATCATGCCAATAACATGTCTGTGCTCTTTTTCAGAGAGCTTGCTCACCTGACGTTCTGCATAACCCAAATTGCTCAACCTCCTCCTGCATCAGTCAACAGTTTCGATGCGGCTAATGTTTAATATTGACCTCTGCCAAAGAAAATAACCACACACATCTGCAATGAGGAAAGTGAGTGGTTCTGTTTTGGGTAATGCCTGCTCACTGCTCAGCCAGGTTACCAGAAAGCTGCAGAGACACAGCAAGCAAAAATTGTATTCAGGTCATTTTGAAAGTTGCACCATTGAGCGCAGCATCCATCCCTTGTTGGGACCAATGTAAATGGCTTCAAATGCATGCAGAACTTCTGCAGTAGAGTGCCCCTGACGTAGCACAAATTTCAATTGTTGGTGTGTTGAGAACGCTTTAAGGAATGTATATTTGAACACAAATGGTTCATCAACACATGTCGACAGGCAGTATAACAATACTTGCAGGCATATATTCTTTATCCTCTCGGTTAAAAATGTCAAATTGTATTACAGATTTTCCAGATTAGTGAGTCACATTAAAAAAAAAAAAAACATTACAAAAATGTGTGTTTGTCACACCGCGGTGAGGGTTGTTTGATTTTGTCTGGTCAATTGCTGTTTTATTTTGAAAGACTGACCCTCCTCTCGTTTCAGGTCACTTACCCTTCCTCCTGTGCGAGTCTGATTGTCAGCCCTAAATGGTCTTTGTCTCCCTTTGTCCTGTGCCACTGGATTTTGTCCTTGTGCGTACACTCCAGCCTCTCGCCACAGTTCTGAGCAGTCCTTGCCTTGTTTCCACAGTCTTGCCATTTTGAGTTGTTGAGTCGCTGATCCTCAAATAAATAAATCTTTTGATTTGAACCCTGCAAGCTTGTCCCGTGTCCAAGCCTGGTTCTGACAGTGTTGGACTTTAGGATTTTTTTTTGTCCCTGATAATACGTAATTAACTGCCCTGAGTTCCATTTGTAATCTCACTTGGATTTCATTTGCAAGAATCTCAATGCACTGTTTATGCTCTGCTTCAATAGTCTTTATTGTTCAATAGTGCACCATCATCAATTCTGTTGTCATTCTGCGTGTTCTCGTAGTGAGCAATCACTCAAGTGCCAAATAAAAGGTGATGAAGACAAGACCACGACAAATGGTCCAATGCAAGGCAGGCTTATGGTTTCATAACAATAGAAGACTTCAATCATAAACAGGAAGGGAAAACCTTTCCCTTCATCATCAAAAGCAAAACAATCCAACGCTGGTGGAAATAGTATAGACTGCACACATTTTCCTAACATTAAAACATTAAATTAATACCACACATTACAAGTAACATTACAGTCAATGTGCTATATGAAATACTGAGGATAAATCCATGTGAAAATAATTAAACTGTCCAAGAGCATTTATGTCAAGAAGAGTAACAAAATAAAACATTATTGAATGCAACAATGTTTGTGTTAAGATATATAATTTTTTTTTTTTTTGGAAGGCACTTCCTTAGAGAAACGTTCCTCCATCGTAATGGGACCTGTCGGAGAAAAACATGAAACGAATTGAAGCACGTCAGAGTAGGCATAAGTCTCATACATTTTATCATTTGTTTCTCCGATTATGTTGTCTGAGCAAAGAGGGTCATTACTGGACAGTTATTGCTAATCTCATTCACAAACCGTGAGTCAACCACACATCACTTGAAAGAACCCTTCAAGTGCGACATACCTTTGACAGATTTGTACAGAAGAAAGTGGACTCACATAATGTGGTGCCCACCACATTATGTGAGTCACTTGAAGATGTGTCAGCCCTGTCAATTTCCTCATCACACTTCCACCAAATACCACAGAGGAGAAATATTACCCCCCCCAAAAAAAAATCACATAAAAAGAAATGAAGTACTACGTAGATGAACTCTATTGCAGCAATCACTCACCAGTGGCTCTTAATTGCATCCTCAGAGCTCGCTTAATTGAGTCACGATGGATTGAGGACCAGACTGCAGTGAATGTGAATCTAACCCCCTGTCATCACACATGGCTTCAAAAAAAGAACCAATCACATTCTGAACTATTCGTCTTGCTACCAAACTTTTGCCTTTAGCGTAAAATGGCTCTTGTAAAATGTTGACATGATATGCTATGTGTTCACATGTATTTAGATAGCATTAGAGTTGAATCCAAAATGTCTATCATGAATGCTGAAAGGAACAGACAGGTTTTGGGGCAACATATGCTGCCATCCAAGCAACGTCTTTTTCATGGACGCCCCTGGTTATTTCAGCAAGACAATACCAAGCCATTTTGTGCATGTGTTACAATAGCATGGCTTTGTCGTAAAAGAGTACTAGACTGGCCTGCCAGCAGTCCAGACATATAGATTGAATGTGAATGGTTGTTTGTCTATCAGTGCCCTGTGACGACTAGTCCAGGGTGTACCCCGCCGCTTGCCCAAAGTCAGTTGGAATAGGCTTCACTTGACAACCTGAATGAGGGAGAGTGCGACAGAAAACGGATGGGTGGAAGGCTGTCTGTTTAAGCCTTGGCAGAGGTCTTCAATCCAGAGAACACTTACATATTCCCTTTTTTTTTTTTTAAGTGACCGTTTTGGAATTTGTGCTAGGCTGAAAGTATGCCTGGTATCGCTGGAAGCGTCTTATAAAGTCATGATCGGGAATGGAGCCACGCTATTCAAAACATTGCAATACAGGAATTTATAGGCCCATCCCTCGCAGTTGTGGCCCTAAACAATCACATAAACTGCAATTGCCACGGGGCAGCCCTCATCTGATGAGGCACGGTAAACATTCATGGTGCAAATGGGAACAAAACTTAACTAAAAAGCAGTGTTTAGAATCAAGAATAATTAAGAGATATTTGTGTCATGAAGCTTTTTAGATATGATTTGAATGAATAAACCACCAATCTCAGTACGCAAAGTGCATCTGAGACAGTCACTCTAATCGGCTGGTAGCCAGCAAATGCACATTAGTGCAAAGAAAAAGGCATAATGTAGTAAATTAAGCGCAGCAAAACCTTGCTTGTAACTTGGACTATGTGTGTGGTGGATGTGTTGTGTGTTGTTTCTGGACAGGTGTGACTGTTACTTAATGGAACCATGACTGCCATGGGGAACAATGGCTTCTCAGTTAGACAGTAGTTCCATCAACATGATACGCTTGTGCAGGCTGGTAAAAATGGATATTTAAAAAAAATTCTCTCTCTCTCTCTCTCTCTCTCTCTCTCTCTCTCTCTCTCTCTCTGTTAAAATCAATATGTGTGTACCTCTACATCTGCTCACATGGAAAGGCAACAACAAAATGTGTTTTTTTTGGGGGCCTAAAAAGTTGCGATCGAAACGTATACAGATATGGACATGCCGTTAGTAGCACTTGGCGACTCTCTTCTAATTGACTTCATTCCTGAAGAAAAATACATAAATATATTTTTTTCACTTGACAGTTAAAAAACTTACATAAGATCTCTATGATTGTGTGCAGAGTGGACTCATTGCTAATCGTGTCAGCAATCTGGCACATCTCTTATAATCTGAAAGAGAAAAGGTACAAAAGTCATTGGTAAAGAGCACATAAAATTTACAGCTATATTCAATGCACTGCATGTTTGCACTGTGGTTGAGAGAGGAAAGTAATTTCATCTGTGCTGTATGTTGCATATATATATATATATATATATATATATAGACAGATTCTGAGCTCCGCAGACATGTGCGGTGGTTGTCATCGTCTTTCATTCAGAAAAATCACAACAGAGTGTGAAATCTATTTATTGACCAATTATAATTATTATCATCTTAAATAAATCTTTAAACGCAATCCTCGAACCACTGCACAACTATGTTTGGGGTTGGCGGTATGTGTCACCCATGTACATACACATCAGTGGTAGAAGGCGGTCTCCAAGTCCCCACTCCACAGTGACCAAATTTACATCATTTGCGAGTGGGGATCCTCCTGCAGGTCCTTTAAAATGTACTTTGCACGAGCCAATTTCATGGATGGTCTCCAGTCCTTCCGACATGGAAGACCGCATGCATATGTTTCATTCAAGTAAAAGTATGACACTTTGAGCACAAATTGTCCTTAATTTTTATGATCAGGAATAATTTGCTTAAGAAAAGTACGATGCGCCTTTCATTAAAAAAAAAAAAAAAAAAAAGACCTTGGGTTGACCTCCATCCTACATCATGAGTCTATAAACTGCTCCCCTTCCAACAACTTTGTCATGATGCTTTCATATTAAAAAAAAATAATAATCCACAATTATTTTCAGATGTCACTGCCTACCTCCAAGTGCAAACAACTAAGACAAAAAAAGACTAATTCTGCAAATTCCAATTAAGGTATTTGGATAGCAGTGGTCGCCAACCTGAGGAATACGGCTGTGGGAGAAATCTGAGTTATCTTCTAAATAAAGACATATTTAGCAGCAATATAATACAAATCTTATTTTGGTCCTCTCATATGGCTAACAAAGTTCAGTAATATTTTTAAAACAGATCTCATTATAATGCAGTGTCGCTCTGAATATCATGAGATTGTGCATCTAATACTGTACCTGTACCTAATGTTATGGAAATTTCACAGCTTAATTTGATGGTGAATTATAGCCTGTTGCATAAACGTTCAATATCGGTTGTTAGTGCAGTTGGTGCAGTTAATACAAATAATTGAATTTGTATAAATTGAACACCAAGAACACAATTATGATGTCAGCTATGACGAATTCAGTCAAAGTACATCGAAGTAGACTTCTACAGAGCAATATTCGCTGAAATACAACAAATGGTAAGGAAACTGACCACACTCAAAAAAATAATTGCAATAATTGCTGGAACAAATATTTATCCGTCATCAATGATCTATGATATTAATCATATTTTATTTTAATAAGATTAGGAATTATTTCATTCATTAATTAAGATGTGATCGTCTGTGTTGATTTAGATTGTTACCTGTGGTTATCGTTTAAAAAAAAAAAAAAAAAGATTTTTCACTGAAACATCACATTTTTTTTGAGCTGGTGAAAAAAAAACGGATGGAATACATACATGCTGGTCTTGAGCAATCTCTTGTGTTGTGATAAAGTCTGTCAAAGTGTGTTCTGCATTCCGATGAAAACTTGACTGGTCCTGCTTCATGAAAAGGTCTCATCAGACAAAAATCAATCAAGCTTCTGGTCCACATTATTCCTTCTTAATACAAAAATTAAGCAAATCACAATCAGGCCTGGAGCAACTTTTTTGCATAGAAAAAAAATGGCAAACCAACATGTTGATGGTTCTAATAGATTTGGTAAATAGAACAATCAAATCGTAATTGGGAATCCACATTTCATTTAAGCTTGCGGATTTTCACACCAATAATGAAGTGTTTCCAGGTCTTGAGACAAGTAATCAGCTTAACCTCGTGTCGTTGTTCACTTAAATCTCTCAGCTTCAAACCATGTGCCGTTTCTCTACATTGCTGCCTTATAAGCCTCAAACACTCAGCGGGTCAAATTTTTTTTGGGCCTTAATCATATTGTAAGTTAGCTGTGAGGAATATAGATCAAATCTTAAATACTCCAGGCCCTTTTTGCGTGAGAAAAGGGCCATTCAAGTGCCACTTGATCTGTGTGCTAAACAAAATTGTCTTACAATAGTTTTAAAGGCAGAAGTGAGCTTCAATCAGTCTTCAATCTTTGGTCTCGTTCTCTTACCTGTGAAGTGCTGAATGAACTTGTGTTTCATGTTTAGATCTCGAGGAGCAATTTCTGGAAAAGAAAATGAACATTTGTTAGTTCATTTTTGAAATAGTATATATGTGTTAGGTGAACCACACCTTAAATACACCATCGGGGATAACAGGCAAGTATGGTAGGTGAGACAACTTTAAAATGTATGCATGTTATTTTTTTGATTCGCCCTCACTGCATGTTGTCTCTCACAATATAGCAGTTCTCTCTTGCGACCTTGTTTCTCCCTCTGGTTTGTGTTCTCCCTCTGCAGTGAGAAACCTCCCAATTCCCCCTTCTGCTTAATGTGGACACAAAGATGCCGCTTTGACCAATCACATGCAGCTTTAATTAAAGAAAAAAAAAAAAGACAAGAGAAACCAACAAATCGGCTTCCAGCCAGGAGCCGGCTCCGGTAGTTCACTTTAAAGAGCAGACTCCTGTATAACGTAAAAAGTGAGCTATATACATGATAAAATGTAACAAAGAATGGCGACTTGTACTTCATAATAATAGTGTGTTGGTGTAAAGTGGTTGTTAAAAAATGTGCCACATATCCTGGGTTAAGATGGATAGCCTACATGCTATCACTGGAAGCCTACATATTACTCTGTGTGCGTATTGCTCGGTGTAGGTGAGTCAGCACGCCAAAAATGGGCTAAAAACACTCATGGTGCCACTCAAACATTTACGTTGCCTGATCGGTCTTGTTAAATTCCCACTTGGTCATGGACTTTTCAGAGTACAGTAATCCATAACATTTCATGAGTTGCCCGTGACTCCTCGCTGACCCGGAGTGTGTCTGGATTTTGGCCAAGGGTCACTCACATTCATCAGGGAGGGTGCAAACGCTTCATCTCGGGTGCTTTGAAATTTGAGGATAAGGACAGAAAGGTCGAAATAAAGATTGCGGAATGATGCTTACATTACTCAATGTGGAGATCTAATAAAAGATAAATTGGTGGAAAAAAAATTCCCAAATTAGCATCACATTAAGAGTCAACACTACGACCTCCTGTATAAAAGCAGGTCTCTCTCACAGTGCATGCTAACAGGCTAAAGAGCTTACTGTATGGGGAATTTAATGCTCATCAGAATAAGTCTGTTCAAGTAGGCATGAGGTCTAACGTACATGAGCCCCAGACTCAGGAACACGTTGTACGCGAGAGTGGATTATAGTTATGGTCACCATGGACAAATACTTTTTATATGTTGGTAAATTTGATCCAGACTTTTTATAATGTTAAAAAAAAAAACATTTGCATGCAGTTGAACCTTTAAGGTTGAAGCCAATCAGGTCCAGGATTATGGTCAACATTTGATGGCTGATTTGTTAGTATTTCGAAAAAAAAAAAAAAAAAGTTTTTCCCCATTCAATTATGTAACTCGAAATAATCTGCTGCTGAGTCAATCTGTCACTATCAGAAAAACATGAAATAACTGTAAAGGCAATGTTGTAAATGAAATTGGATTGTGAAATGTCATACAAGCAAAAATGTCAAATGTAGATACTGTACAGTAAATTAAAGCCGAAAAACAATTCTGCATTCTTGTATGGAGTCATGCAAATGTTACGGGTCTAGGAAAACAAACGTGGGCTATTTTGTTTATCTGCATTGCTTCAATCTTCACCCAGGGTTAATGAATTAAATCTTTGGCTACTCAGTACTCTTGAATCTGAATCTGTGTCCCCAGTAGCCCGGATCCTCTGAATACTCTGGCTGGATGTATTTAAGTACACAAGGTGAGTCATTAAAAAACAAAAAAAAAAAAAAACAAACAAACACCGTGGAATCCGATGAATTGCTGAATCTGTTCATGGATTTGAATTTGTGGACTCACCAGAGACACAGCAGACTCAGCGGGTTCACTGAATATATTCACTTACCCAGACATCACTTTAATGGATGACACAAAGTAACCTGAGTCCTAGAATGCACAGACTTTACCCACATGACCTAAAACTAAAAATTCATAAAAAGCAGAAGGAAGAACAGAAGATAAGACTGCTAATCTGAGGTCTTGCATGCGCCAGTCATGGCTTAAACCAATTTTGTGCGGCTGAAGAGGCATCTTCTTTCTAAAAATTTCCGAATGACATCAAGGCTGTTGGAATGGAGTCCACAGCACTTGATTTATGTAATAAAGAGAAGGGGCATGATTAAAATAAATAAATAAATAAATAAATAAACTACTGGTAATACAAAGTGTGAAAGTGATATATTGTCAAATACAGTGGTTATAAAGACTCTACACATGGCTGTTTAAATTCTACGTTTATGTGATAGGAAACATGAGACTTAGATAAATATTTTCAAAAATGTTTCTCACCATTAATGTGATCCATAACCTGTATAAGTCAATTATAAAAAAGATTACAAGCGGGGGGTGAGAATGTGCGCACACACTCTTGTAACTTGGGATGTTCCATCATATTGATATGTCTGGCCATGGGGTAAGGTGGCAAGAACATCCAAAACCCACACGACCCTGAATATATTATTCAGAAACACACTTGAGATCTCCCCCACATGTTATCGTCCGAGGAAACCAAGGTTGAACTTTTTGGGTATAATTCAAGAAGTCATGTGTGTTCCAAATTTTGGAACACACTCCTCAGCCTCCTTTGATCAGGTCTATATTCAGGGGTGCTGGAGAGGAGGGTCTCTTGGGAAGTTCTAATCTTAGAAGTTGGATTAGTTTCGAGTGAGGGTTGCACTTGGCCAAGGCTACCCTTTGTAACCGATCTTATTCGTAACTTGATGGACAGAATTTTTAGATGCAGCCAAAGCATTGAGGGTGTCCATTTTGGTGACCTCAGTATAACATCTCTATTTTTTTTGCAGATGATGTTCTGTTGGCCTCATGAAGATGCGATCTTCAACTCCAATCGGGGCGGTTCGCAACAGTGAAGCGATTGTGATGAAAATCAGCACCTTGAAATTTTGGACCATATTACTCAGTCGGAAAAGAGGAGAGTGCCCTCTCCATTGGGGATGAGCTCCTACCACATGAAGAGGAGTTTCAGTTTCTTGGAATAAGTGAGGGAAGAATGGTGTGGGAACTCAACAGGTGGATCGGCGCAGTGTCTGTCATGATGCGGACTATGTATCGGTCTTCCATGGTAAAGACGGAGCTGAGCCAAAGGGTGACGCTTTCGATTTACTGGTCTATATCCATTCCTACCCTTACCGATGGTCGTAGGGTGTCTGGGTTGTCCCTTAGAGACACTCAGGGAGGGGCTCGGAACAGAGCCGCTGCTCCTCTGCATTGAGAAAGGGGCCAGATGCGGTGGTTTGGGCTTCTGATCAAGATGCCTCCTTGACACCTCGCTGGTGAGTCATTACGGGCAGGTCCAAGCAGGTGGCGAATGAGCCAGGCCAGGCTGGAGAGACTATGCATGCCGACTGGCCTAGAGTCAGTACGGGCAGGTCCAAGCAGGTGGCGAATGAGCCAGGCCAGGCTGGAGAGACTATGCATGCCGACTGGCCTAGGAATGCCTCAAGGTCCCCTTAGATGAGCTCGACTGACAAAGTGGCTGGATAGAGGGGAGTCTCTGCTTCCCTGCTTAAACTGCTGCCCCCGTGACCCGAACCTGAATGAGCGGAAGATGGATGAACAAAAACTTGGGGTGTATAGACTTTTGAATAAATATTGAAACTGATATTGGTGTCTCCAGCCACATACTACTACAAACCCTTGATAGATCCTAAAAGCAACACAATCAAGCAGCACAACTTCATCTAATCGGTCACATTACTGTTAGATTTCTCCTCGCTCTCTCGTTGCGTTCAAAACATCTATCATTGCGTGACCGCCGCGCTTTGGTAGCGTCACACGCATCATTTGCTGGTATGCCTTATTTTGTATCCTCAAAAGATAAATTCCATCAACCCACTGGTCTGAGAAAGGTGCTTTTCCAATTGCACGGGCTGATGTGAGACTGAGCCGTATGCCTGAGCAACACCTCTCCAACACGAGCAGACTCACTGGCATATTGGAGGGAATCTCAACAGCAGGCAAAGTGCATTATTTCCATTTAATTAAGTCCTACTGCACATATTTTACCAATGAGGAACTCCGCCGAGGGACTCTGAATTGATGTTTAATTCATGTTTCATTATATGAGAGAAGATTAACTACTGAAATGTCCAGATATGAAAGTAAGGACATGAATACCAGTAACAAAGTTTCCTGTTAAATCTATATTAAAACAAACAAACTAAAAGGCAACCACATACAACTCAAAACAAAAATGAGACTAGGGATGTGTATGATATTTGATTTATTGTAGAGTTGGGTAATATATTGAAACAAAAATTCTTCAATCACGATGTACGCCATTTCACAACGATTTAACACGAAATGGATATTTTCAGTTATTCTACAAAAAAAAAATCTACACCACACTATGACTGCTTTCTTTTTCTCACTTTATTTTGAAGAAAAAATAAACAGACCAGTATTGAATGAGAAATGCATCAAGTAGTGCTGCTAGTTAAGATTATAAATCATTTTGGAAAATGTAGATGTCAACCTAAATAAGGGCCATCTAAAAATGCTTAAGACACAAATTGTTTAAAAAAAAAAACAGAAAAAAAATATGACTCGAGAGCTACTTTTGAGAAAGTTTTTTATGCAGATCTCAAAAATCAAAGTCAAAATTCATTCACACTTCTGATATCAGAGACTTACGGGTACCAAAATTCGCTTTGTCGGTGTGAACAACGGCAGTCACCTGCCGAACGTAAAAAAAAAAAGACTCGAGATCTACTTTTGAGAACGTTTTTTTATGCAGATCTCAAAAATCAAAGTCAAAATTCATTCACACTTCTGATATCAGAGACATACGGGCACCAAAATTCGCTTTGTCTGTGTGAACAATGGCAGCCATGTGCCGAACTGTAATAGATGACGTGGGAAGGGACGTCCTGTTTCGTTACGTGTGTAGTCTTATTTTGTATAACATTTTCTCCAGACACGAATGAAATTGCTTGGTATTTTGCTGTTCAAAGGTTCATACGCTTTGCTGTAACGCGACTTCTGCGAAAAGTGTACAGGATCGCCCAAGCACGTATAAATCCCTGTTTCATGATAAAATTGGGTTAGCTTAGCCATTAGCATGGCGTCTCCATTTTCCTTCTGTTAATTACTCTTCTTAATGCCTCTTTGAGAATGATACTTGGCATAAGTGTATCTTATTCGCCACCATGGAGGCTATGATTACGGACTTAGAAAACGAGTGAAATATTCAAGGTCGTTGTAGCATCTCTGCCTCACAGTTGGTTTGGGTTTCGAATCTCGGCTCAGCTCGTGTCGGTATCAATCATGTGCGCTGTAACGCGACTTCTGCGAAAAGTGTACAGGATCACCCAAGCACGTATAAATCCCTGTGTTTCATGATAACATTCGGTTAGCTTAGCAATTAGCATGACGTCTCCATTTTCCTTCTGTCAATTACTCTTCTTAATGCCTCTTTGAGAACGATACTTGGCATAAGTGTATCTTATTCGCCACCATGGAGGCTATGATTACGGACTTAGAAAACGAGTGAAATATTCAAGGTCGTTGTAGCATCTCTGCCTCACAGTTGGTTTGGGTTTCGAATCTCGGCTCAGCTCGTGTCGGTATCAATCATGTGCGTTAGGTTCATTCGAGACTCTAAATTGTCTACCGGTGTGAATGTGAGAGTAAATATTTGTTTCTACATGTGCCCTGTGATTGGCTGGCATCCAGCCCAGGGTGGAACGCCACCTGTAACCCAAAGCGTGGGATGGACTCCATTTCATTCATGACCCTTAATCAAGTTAAGTACTATTGAAAATGGATGGATGAAAAATGTACAGGTATGTTTCAAAGCTGTAAACGAACACTATAAAATCATTATTTTTGAGACTGTTGTTTCATGGATTTCAAGGGAGACTTTTCATCATTCTGCTTTTTTGCAATTTTTTGAGGAAACTCAAGTCTCTTCTTACTTTTTTTGTTGTTGTCATTATTGAATATAACCCAGTGTAAACACAGCAACGGCAGCCATTCATGCTTAAGGGTTTCTCAATGAATCAGTGAGTGAGTCATTCACGTTTGGAACAGTGACGCTTCTCCTTGGTGAATTTATGCTTTCTATCTTTGCTCTCTCCATCTATCACTAAAGCACAGTTGGAATGAGGCAGAAATTTTCCACTTAAATTTGGGAATATCGCAAACAAAAACATCCGTTTGCCTTCAAGTTCAACATATCCATTCTTACATCGCTTAAATTGATAATTATGATAATTTGGTTTACTCCAGGCAAAGAAAACACTGTAGTGTACCATATATGCAAAAGGGATGTTATCATCCGTATACAGTACTACAAGCTTCCAATGCAGCCAAACTAACTCAGGCTTTTAAAACTAAGTTGGACAGTTCAGACGGCGACAATGACAGCTGTCTCCCACTCTAAAATGACGGATTATGCTTTGATCATCACATGCTAAAAATAAATCTTATCAGCTTACCTATGAGTTTACTGTTATCCAGCCGAGGAATGTACATAGGCTTTTCACGGGAGGACAACTTCAGGTCTTGAAGAGACGTGAAGAGTCCCCCACTGCAGCGTCTGGAAATGTGTTTGTCCCATTGCTGGCTGTCTTTGATCACCTGTACGATTAAATCCAACAGGGTTCCTCTCGCCTTCTGCTTGACCTCCTTGTTGTCCACACATTGGCCGGAGGTGATGAGCAGAAGGAGGAAAGTCAGGAGTATGTGCCATTTCCTCTCCACCTGCATGACTGGGGTGCAAACAAACCAACAGAAACAAGTCATCACTACATTGAATCTCAAACGCAAACAGACCAATTTGTATCATCACCATCATGATTGAATCCAGAAAATGTTGACTTGCTGAAAATAAGTGAATTTAGTGCAAAAAGTGCATGTTTGTTAGTGTAGGATGTGGCAAAGTTAAACAAGTGTCACTGCAGACTTACTATTGTCGAGTGGACACAGCTGACTTCCTCAAATGGTTTAAATCTTGGTCCTGGTCGCAGCGAGCTCTCCTTGTTCAACACCGTCTTTGGAGCAATATTCTCCCGTCTCTATTTATATGTGGAGCAGCCGGCTTCTTGGGGGTAATACAATCGATTTCGTGTGGGTGGCAAAGCAAGGTTGACATCTTTGGTGCCGTTTCATCCCGCGGCGTTGGCTCACTTTGGCACGCTGCGCCCCTCCTTTGCGTACATCACAACTCCAAAAACTCACGCTCAACAATTTTAAGAGCATCTCCGCGCATGAACACTTTACAACACCACTCCACTATTATTTTAACTCGAGAAAATAAGCAACGCGGTGCCAATACCCGCAAAGACAAGTTGTTGTTTTTTTCTCCCCCCCGTAAAGGAAGAAAGTTGGATAAGTTACGTCCTGACAGCCGTACGCGTAATGCTTCACTGACCTGTCAACGTGTAGGATGTTTGCACACCCGTGCCTTTCTCCCGACGGCATAGCAGCGACGTGTTTCTGATTTATCGTTTTCAAGAAATACACGGTAAACACTGAAATAAGTTCGTGATGTGTCCATGCCCTTCTCTTTTAACCCGCGTTCTATTGTAAATCCAAACATGATGTGAATGAGGAAAGCGTCCTCCTCACTTTTTTTCACTTCCTAATTGTACTGTCTGCGGAAAGTTGCCGTCTCACCTGTTGCTTACTCGCGTTACAATAGCGCCACACAATTTAAGGATAAAGGTGCGAGCGAGCGATCTGCTGCATAGTGTCGGAATGAATAGTCAGAATCACAAATTCGAACATTTGGGGGAGGTTGATTTTTTTTTTTTAAAACATACATTTCATTATTTCAGAGCGAAATGTACTGTTGGATTTCAAAACGATCCGTGGGTTAATTATACAATTTTGTTGCTTGTAAAATAAAACAACACATTTACTTCGTATAGTTAGTTCTACTTCAACGTAGTCACCAGACGCTGCTCTAAATCAGAGAGGGTTGTTGGCTTGAGGGTTGTTATTGTTGGTTTGTTTTTTTTAAATCAAAGACACAAACTAATAAGCAAATATTCAGATTCAGAAAACTTTATTCATCCCCGTGGGGCAAATATGTGTTTCGGTTACAGGTGTTGATTTGTAGAATAATTACGAAAGAGTTGAAAATGTGTGAATCATCGTGTTCAAAAAGAGGTTTCGAAATAGTGCTAAACTACCTGTATATCACGTATAAACAGGAAAAACCGCATAAATGTTAGAACTTTTCCACGTGTTGGCTTGAGTGGAGCGAAAGTATGTACAAATGTTACACGGGTTTTAAATGACACTGTAGGCATATGAAAGTAAATGCCTGCATGTACATGTATGGTACGTGTTTATGGGAAGCCTATGTATGTATATCGATTTCAGTTTTTTATTTTTATATCTTGGATCAAATTATGTTCGATCAATCAGTCAATCAATCGATCATCAATTCATCAATCAATCAATCCAATTTTTATTTAAAATTCGCTACTCAATCAACCAAAATTTATTTAAATTTGCTACATCCTTTTTGGAAGGATTTACTGAAGTACATTTTACAACGTGATCACGATGCATTATCATGGATTAGCATTCTAAACGTTGATTGAATGCGTTTCGTCAGAGGAACTATTGTACTACGTTACACTCCAGGTCAGTAGATGGCAGTGTGACGTATTTATGCTAGTTGCAAAACCTACCAGATGAAGTCACGTTGTTTGCCGTTTCCATGACAACTTCAGCTCGAGGTAGGGGTTCCAAATATTGACGTTACAAAGCAACGTTATTATGATTGGTTAATTGTATGACCCAAGGTTGAAATGACTCTTCTCGTCATTTTCACCTTTCACTTTGATTAATAAATTAAGCATCAATTGCGGGTGTTTACTTTGGAGAAACTGGCCTTTGAAATCGTTTTCAGTGTTAATTAAACAGCGTGGTCATTCGGTGTAATTTAGCAGCAGTCATGGTGTAAATTGTATAAAACTTACGTCATTAGCTGTTTACGCCGTAAAATTTAAGCTCATTGTGGATACGTCATGATAACAGTTCGACTTAATCGAAGGCGTGGGGGGAGGGGGAGAAGGCGTCAAAATTAATGAGTCTTTTTCCCGCACTTTCGACAATTTTGCTGATTCTCAAGTCAAAAACATGGCGAAAGAAATATATGACATAAGATATTGATTATGGGGCGAGCGTTTGATTCACTACAGTGCAAAACATAGAGGTGAGGTTGCATTGACAGTAAATCATGAAAGATGTTTTCTGTTCTTTTTTTGTATACAGTATACTGAGATACATTTTGTAGATCGGGCTAAGGTAGTATGCTCTCAATTTGGAAAGGCCAAAGTGTAAATTACTTGGCTTGCAAGTCAAAGGGTAAAGGATTATTCTCAGAGTACTGCGAAAATGCTCTTGAGCATGGCACTGAATCGCCTAACCTGTTTTGGATGGACCCATCATGTTCTTCAAACTCAAGGCCCACGGCCAGAAAAGGGGCCACATGTGGCCTGCTAAATCAAATCATGTGTCTACGTCCTTTTGTTCATCTACCAAAATCTTGGCGTATGGTTTTTAAAAAAAATATATACCAAACACCGATTTAAAATGAAAAATAGTTGAACAAAGTAATTTCTTTGACTTTGGATTTCAACATCAATTATCCATCAGTCTGTTGTGTATTTGTAATAATGTGATGGTGCGGTTATACATTTATATGGTTTGAGTCACGGCCCTCTGAGGAAAACCATAACTTCAATGTATCCTGCACTATAAATGAGTGTGACGCAGCTGCCTACTGCCTACATGAAAATGTGGCCTGTGTTAATGTCGAATCATAATAGGCTATATCATATTATCTATTGTTATATATTATTCATATATCTAAAAAAGAGTGTAAATCTGATTGCCCCTCTGGGGAACAATTAAATGTTGTTGTATTCTTCCTGTGATCACAGTTTTTAATTGCCTTTTTGCAGCTCCCGCCCACAGGAGACTTGACTAAGAGTTATCCCACCTCTGTTCCAGAAAAGAAATGTCACAAAGGTAAAGTTCCCAGCAGCCACAGTAGATGGGCTGACATATTAGTCATTTCAAGCCAATTCTGTTGTGGCCCTCAAATATTTTACGAGAAGTTCCATCTAAAAAAATCATTTAGCCTTAACGACCAACATCATGACCGACATTAAAATACAGTAGCGTAGTTGGCCCAAATGTTCATTAAATTACAAGACAGATTTCATCACCATTTTTTTTTTTAAGATTATTGCCAGACACTAACATTATAAGCAGTTTGAACATTAATACCTCACTTAAGTATTGGAGAATGAAAAAGTTTGTGCTTAACAATATTCAATTAAAATGTTTGTACCGGTACATAAAATCTGTATATATGCTTAAAACCAGCAAGATTAATCTAGATATATTGAATCTAAAAGCCAAATAGCAATACAAGTGAACTGAAGGCAGTGATTTTCTTTGAGTAGCAATAGAGAAGTGGTCAGAAACCTTTTCTGAAACTGAGAGCTAATTCTTGGCTACTGATTAGCGCAAACCGCTACCAGTTTTACACACACTGTGTAAAACAACTTCCTACCTTTCTTTATTCTTTTTGTGACTTCTATCATGTCTTTCTTCTAGCCCTGATTGCCAACATAACCTGAAATCATAAAAAAATCTACCTGGAAAAAAAGTTGCAGGAGAGTCATATTTTCATTCATTCCTCACATTGGCTGACTCTGAATCATACTAATAAATACAAAAATAAATAAAAAGGATGTACTGGGCAGTAGGGCACACTTAAAATGTGTGGTGCTGGTGATTTTGTCAAAACACAATACTGTATCGTATTTACAACGGTGAACCCATTGCCTTTGCTTTGGAAGTATTTTACTCACCACTGGCTGACTTTCCATCCTAGGACATACAACGAGCTGTGGGCAGAGGCCCAGGTGGAGTTGAGCCGTCTGTTAGTTGAGGAGCTTCCTGAAGAGCCAATTCTGCCACAAAAGGACCGTGCGGCGTTCTTCCAGACAGTGGCCATGCTGTACGTGCGCTATTTGCAGGTCTTCAGACAACTAGAGAAGGTCTACGACCAGGTTGTGCATCCGCAGAAGCGACGGCTTGTTCTGCATACCCTTGAAGGTGTGATGGGTCGAATCTTAGAGCTGAAGAATGAAATGGTGGATAAAGAGCTCTGCGAGTACCACTACATGGATGATGTCCTACATGACTTAAAACTCACACCTGTAAGTTTGATTGCTGACTGCTAGATTTAATGAAAATCCAATTGATTTGACTGCTGCCACCAATGAACATTATCTCACCAGGCTGACCTTGAGATTGCCATCCCTCACTATTTTTTGAGTGAACGCAGCAAAGACAACCGAGAGCGAACGACGATGCTCAGAAATATCCTGCAAACGATGGAGTCTACTGGAATGCAAAAAGTCAGTGAGACATCCTACATTAGGGATGGGCGAGTACCGGTACCAGGTATCCAAACCAACCTTAATTTAAGGTATCGGGTCCTCCTGGAGGCTGCCGATACCAGCCATCGATACTAAAGACAAAAAAAAAAAATCCTCTTCGATAGGAGTTGGCACTATGCTGTGGCAATTTGACACATCAGTAAGTCACACTCTGCATCAGAAAGAATGGTCTTTTTTCACAATTTTTTGTCAACGTGCAAAATAAAATTTTGACATCACAACAGGTATTGGTACTTGGTATTGTGAGTACTCATAGAATACTAAGAATACTGTTATTGGTCTGGAACCCCACCACCCGATCTATAATGATTCAAAACTTCATTATATTGTCCCCAAAATTGTGTTGCACTCAGTTGAATCATAGATTGCACAAGTGTACCGAATGATGTTTCAAGTGAAAGTAAGTTTATCATTTGTGTCTTTTTCCACTCGTACGTTAGCGTGTGACAAAGAGCATGAGTCAAGACGAGGCCATCCGAATCATTCAAGTCGCAGAGAGGGCACGCCAAGGACGCCTAAGGGCAGCCTTGAATGAAGCTAGCAGGAGATTGAGCAAGATACCCATGGCTGAGGAGCCAAAACCCAGCGACATGGACCGAGCTGCAGTCCGCATCCAGAAGGTTCTTTGTTGTCAATTTTATTTTATTTTTTTTTGTGGTTTCACAGACTTTTTGCTGGAAGATTGTGTTCATTTCAATTTGCAGTTTTGGAGGGGCTATGTAGAGAGGAAGAAGGCAAAGGCAGTTCGCATAGAAGATATGACTTTCCTGGGAATGGTAAGCAAAATGCTATAGGCCATCCTGATGCCCATGTTGCAGATATAAATGTGCTTTTTAGTCAGAAGATCGGCAAGTTTTGCCTTTCCTATTCCGTGGAGTCAGCCAAACTGCTTTCACAGAACTGTCTGTTATTTCATTGTGTACCCATTTCTGTGTCAGACTCCGCATCCAAAATATCAGGCACCATGTGAGGCCATCATCACTGCCGACGCCAACGAAACGGCCATACGAAACAAGCAGAGGGAACATGAGGATGACTACCAAAAAGCTGTGACGGAAATCGCAAACCACCTGCTCGAGGTGGAGGGTCAAGACATAGCCAACAACATGAAAGAACAAATCAGGCAGTGGTTTCTTGAATGCCGGTCAGTTGGAAACAAAGATTTGTGTTTAAATAGTTGAGGAACTTGTTCAAGGTAGTCGCTTTCTTTCTTTTTTCAGTAATCTAACAGGGGTATTCCCAGACTTCCCAGATGATGATGAGGGAGGCTCGGCTATCCTTTTTGCTGAAAAGGATTATGAGGAAGTAAGACACAATTTCAGTCAAAAGAAGATTTGCACGCATGATGTTAACTGGCTTTTTTTTCGTAGTTATTGGCAGAAATGGCGGCATTGGAAGATGATGGCAAAAATAAAAAAGGAAAGGAAGAGGAGAAAAAAGACGCAAAAAAGTCTAAGGGGAAGGATGGGGTAATGGCTGACTTCATTCATAATAGTCTCAATTCAAATGAAACTCAAAATAAATTCATACCGAACCACAGGAAGA